CGTGGTCAGAGAAAGGCACAAGTTTCGCGTCGTAAGATTGAATCCGATCGCTGAGTTCGCTCGAGACGTACACTCGATCCAGTCTGGCCTGGGAGGGTCCTTGCCATCGGGTGAAGCGTGGCGAAAAACTGTCCAGCACCTCGGTGACGTCCACGATGTCGAAATCACGCACGGCATCGCGAAGCGTGTTAGCGCCCGCGTCGGCTCTGGGGGCTGTTGATCCGCGCATTCTGTCCCGCGCATTAAGCGCGCAGTTGAAGTCGCCGCCGACGATGAGCGCCGCAGGGGTCTCGAGGAGGGCACGAAGCTCCGTGAAAAAAACTCTCCGCTCGGTCGCCGTGCTCGGTGCATAGACAGAGATAAGTCGAATTAGTTCGTTTCCGATGACACAGTCGGCCAACGCGAACCGGCCGTCTGCGCAAAGGGCCGGCTCAACCATTCTGATGCCCGTGGTTTTCCTTATCAGAATGGCACAACCTCCGGCGCGGTTCGCCGTTAATGTGTGTACACACCAAAAAACATTTCCGAAAAATTGCACAAAGCTCTGGGCCTTTTCTGGCGAACATATCTTGGTTTCTTGTAAAAAAATTATATCGGCCTTCTCTTCATTCAGAAGGTCCATTACAAAAGTTTTGCGCTTTCTTGCTGTGACGCTGACGCAATTAAAAGTTGCTATTTTAAGAGACTTGGTGAAGAGGGCTTATTTGGTGAGAAGAGGACAACTAAGCGGGCCAAGCAGATTCTGAAGGGACGGGGAGGAAGAATAGATCCTCTTACCGACCGGGAGGGGACCTAATCCTTCTTGTGGAGGGGAACCACGTCAAGCGACGACACGTTCATCTCCCGGGGCGGGAGCGATCCCAGCTCGGTTTTCTTGGTTGGATTCCGGACGCTACTTCGCGTCGCCCTGGCTGTGTCCTTGGGTGCGGCTCCATCCCGTCTCGGCTGCGGTTCCTCCATTGGAGCGGCTGTGCGCGCTGGCGGGCCGCTTCCCTGCGATTTCTCCGGCGCCAAGCAGGGACCTTTCGTTTTCTCGTCCTGTGTCCCTTCGGTTCCGGTGCTGGCGGCTGGCGCGCCGTCCGAGCCTTCTTTCTCGCCGTTCGGGCGCTCCTTTTCTTTCTCCTTTTCGCGGGCTGCCTCAGCCGACTCCTGCGGAATACCTTCTGTTTCTGCCTCTCTCTGTGCGGTGTCCGTGCTGCGCGATTCCAGAGGTTCGGCCTGTGGGGGATTCAGTGGCCCGGTGTTCGTGCCGCACTCCGTGCTTTCCCCGTCGTCCAGCATCTCGTTGTCCCGTGCCGCATCCGCGTGGCGCCGGGTCTTCGCGGCGTATGTGGGCACGCATTCCGCCTCCCCGTGGCCGTAGCTCCGGCATTGGCGGCACCACGGCGCCCGACACTGCCTCCGCATGTGCCCCAGCTGGTTACATCGGAGGCACCGCGGCGGCCTGCCTGGCACCGACACCAGCACCGGATAGAGGCTGACGCTTGTCTGGTCTGGTAACTCGTCCTTCGTGGTGCCCTCCTTGAGCACGATGGTGGCGGAGCGGGTCGAAGTTTCCACTTCGTAGTTCCCACTTGGAGATTTCCACATTTCCCTGGTTATCTTCACGATAGTCCCGTAGTCTTGGAAAGCCGTGCGGATCTCCCCGTCGGTCACGAAGGTCGGAAGCCAATGGATGCGAATCCCAACCTCCGTGACGTTCGGGTCGATCACGAGGCACCTCTTGCCCTTGATGACGAGCTCCTTGGCAGCAACCAGCTTTTCCTTGCTCTCTCTTGAATCCATCGTGCATACCCACACGTGGTTCGTGGATCTCTTTCCTTAGTAGTAATTCAGCCGGCAAAGTGTAAGTTGGAAAGTTTGCTATCGATTTTTCTCTAGCAAAAGCACTCCCGGGTCGAGGTCGGGAAGCACCACGCTTTGGGGACATTCGCACCTAGTAAAGAAATCGTACGCGTGCATATTCAACTCGAAGTAGACACGTCGTGCTTGACATTTGCGCGAGCGATGTCTTCAGCCACGAGAAGGGAGCGACGGCTCGGCGACGTCTTCGTGCAAATCGGCTTGGTGGCCGGGCGTGTCGTACGGGATGAATACCAATTCTTTTGATCAGTCCCAAATTTCTTTTTTAACGGTAGACAGAATTCGCTGGTACCGCGAACGACAGTTCTGAAATAGAGGTCCCACGCCCGTCGTCCGCTGGCATCGCCGTCCCCGCGAGTCCCACGATACGCGAAACGACGAACGCACAGAATGCTTCCGGTTCTCTGTGGAACTTTTTTTTTTTCAATCAACGTATTTACAGCTTTTTAGAAGCCACAAAAAATGGGTTTCATATTTTTTTCTATTTTTAATAGTGAGTGTGTGCCTTCAGTGACCCACGACTTTGATTAAATTTGGTGGTCGCATCGATACCTTAGAAAACGGCCCGTGACCGCGAAAAAGAGAGTGAGCGAGACTCGAACCGGCCAGTTCTTGATCGGCGGTTTTCAGGCGGAAAGAAACCGAATTTCGAGCCGCAAATTCTGTTCTGGGTAGTTGAGCTCTCATATGTCACGTACAACTAAAAACCTCGGCGAGCATAAATACCCTGTCAGTGTCCCTTTAAAGGGTACTACAACAAAATTACGGCGCTCATTTTTTGGTCCATATATGTTCAAAGGAGCAGCATCACATCGAACATACCAGTATCTTCTTAAAAAAGTCACGAAAAGGAATTTTAAAAGAAATTAAATAATTAGCAAAGAGCACCTGGTGGATGTCACTAACGCCTCGCTTGTAAGGCCGATCTAGGAACCTTGATAGCTAGTGACAGAGGTTGTCTCGCCTCCGGCCATGACGAGGGAAGGGGGAAAGGAGGAACTCCCCTCTTCCCGAGAATGCCTTTTGTGTGTCGCGGAAGTTGCTGTTGTCCGCCTAAAAGATTATCGAAGATTAACCCGTCACTCAAAATTCGTACAAAAGCAGCCGCTTCGGTGGCTGGAACGAGGAGGCCGTCCTCTCGACGTCTGCCTCGCCGTAGCTTTGCTTGTCCCGAGACGACCTACGTCACGATTGCATTGGATGTCACGTGGTCTCCGCTGGGCCTTCTCCGAGCGCTTGGCAGAGTGGGCCGTTTATAACGAAAAATACAGCCACCAGGCTCAAAATACAAACTTGCGATTGTCATTTACGGATATTGTGGATCATAATCAACCTATTTTTGAACACGACGGGAATATTTAAAATTTCGTTGAAGTATCCCTTTAAAGATTTGTTTCTCACTAAAGATTGCTTTAGAACATTCTATCTCGCCAAAAATACTGTCCCTAGGAAAAGCAAAGAATGCAGGAGCATCAGTCGTCCCGGGAAGTGTGTTCTTCTTTGGCAGGGAAGGAGCGGAAAACATTCTTTGGGCGAAAAAAGCTAACACATACAAGCCACAAGGAAGTAGAAGAAACCTGCAAGTGGCTTCTTTGCCTACGAGTATATATTGAGGAGTCTGAATTCAATCCTCAGGAGTGGTGGAACTTGCGCCAGCACGAGTTTCCGTACTTCATTTTCGTGGTGCAGTTTGTGCATACCATCCCAGCATCCAGTGCACCAACGAAGAAAGACTTCTCACTAGCGAGTATTAATTTACGAGAGGCGAACCAGTCTGAACTCGTGCGTGTTGACAATATTCTGTTTCTTCTACACAGCAACCTCGACACGTGAAATGTTGCGTGCGTGTGCGTTGTCTTTTTCTCGACAGTTGGCACCGAGTTATTTTGAAGTATGCGGTTCCAAGCATGCAGTTGAGGGTTCACGTTTAAAACTGAAACTGATAGGAGGTGTTGCCATTATTGAATACTGTGATATTTTCCCAGTAGTGTACTCACGCCTTACCATATATACACGAGTATACTTTTCTTCGCTGAGTGAGTGCCCTTCCTCTCCCACTTTTTTATTGTTTCGCCTAAAAAAGAGGACACAACGTTATTAGTCTGTCCTTCGACAACGTTCATGTTTAAAAAATATGCGTCTGCTTGAAGCAGGTTCTACAAAGCAAAAAGGACCGCATATACTGGACAGAGCGTCAGTGTCACAAACTCCCAAGAAGATCTAATAACTGTGATCATCTTTCGAGCGATGCAAAGTGTCTCTGGGAGGATGATCGTTTATTTTATAAATATGATCAAACTGGATACAATAAAATGACTTTCACCGTATTCTTACACAAAGAGTTTTTTGTAGAAAGGTAAGCCGACGGCTTACAGGACACCATCCAGATTTTTTTTTTTTTAGGTTTATTAATGCTTGATGTTATTATGTAAAATGAATGCGCGGATTGAGAGTCGGATACATTTCTGAATTTCGCGGATGCGGTTCGAATGTGGATACAATTATTTAAGAGCATTGCGGATGCCGATCGGATGTGGAGACGAAGTCTGCGGATGCGGATGATCAAATTCCTATCCGTGCAGGGCTCCACATATCTCCAAGTTCTTCATCCATGTATTTCAGTAGGGAAATAGGAGTGGTGAAAGCCTGAAAATTGCTTTTTACGATTGATTTTATTATCTCTCCTGTGGCTCCACCTGTGAGCAATTTTTCAGACGTCCCATTTTGGCCGGGACTGTTTCATTTTAAGGGTTAATTTCTGCCGTTCTGTCATTTTGTATCAATAGTGCCTCATATCCCTTTTTCATGGGAGTGTGCATAGTTCCAAATCGGTACTGTAAGCAAATGGAAGAAAAACTAGAGTGTGTTAGGCTGTTAAATCATAATTTTATAAAATAAGCATGCATGAATGTGTTATCTGCTGTAGAGGAAATTATGAGCTCATTCCGCGGTTACAAATTAGCTAGTACATATCTTCTTCACATATATCTGTATGTGAGAGTTTTTCTATATTACTGAATTTTGTATGCGGATTGCTTGGCAACATTTCTTCCCATTTGTTTAAAGCTCGGGAAGAAGTGCACTCGTGTGTTTTGAGTGAAAAACTCCGGAAAACTTGCTGTCTCTTCTCTCCCCAGGAGCCATCTTTTGCATCCCGGGGTCGAGACTGGCAGCCATGGATGACTCTGAAGATGACGACAGGGGGCTGGGTGAGTCGCCCGAGCGGCCCCTCAAGGGGCAAGCCTGCCGCCACACGGCGAGCAAGAGCAGCAACGACGACGAGCGGGAAGATGGCGCAAACGACGGCCAGGAACGGCCGAGCGGCAGTGAGGGGTCTCCGTCCAAGAAGAAGTCGCGGGACAACATTCCCGAGCCGCTGAGCAGCCTGCATGGCTTCGTCCCAGGTACGGCCGACTCTTTCGTCCGAACCACAGCAATAGTGTCGTCCTTCCGGTTAAGTCCTCCAGGGGGGGGTGTTGGTTTTTTTTTCCCCCAGAGTTTGTTTTTGATGAAATTGGGAGGTTGTTTCCTTCGAGTTCATTTCTCCAAAACGGAAGTCATTCAGTCTTGTCTTACGTCCGAGAGCATTAATTCAAACTGGAATGTGAAACCCTCCGGAACTTGTAGTTTTTGGATGTGTGGTTGATGGAAGCATGCTTGGCCAAACAATGTTGCTGAGGACATTGAAGCTTGTACTTAAACTCTGTTCAGCAGTAAGTTGGCAGGGTGGGGGAAGCTATATGTGCCCCTTGGAACAGTGAATTGTCAGGCACCATGTGTTCAAGCTTTCTGCAGATACTCTCATGCTGGGAGTGGGGTTGGGCAATAAAAGGTGGGTTATAATTAGGGTTCCGCGTTTTCGGTTTCTATTTTTTCAGAATTCGGCGTACTTTTTTCGGTGTTTATTTTAAAATTCAATTTTCGGTTTTTTTCGGCGTATATTTATGCCCCCAAAAGTTTATCGGCTTTTTTCGGTGAATATAAATTAAACACCAAAGGACGCCGAATCAGATGACCCTTGCAGCTCTGATAATTGTAATCATTCAAAGAATAACAGCACAGATATATTGTAAAAAAAAAAATGAACACTTTATTTTGCAAATGTGTGCAACTGCAAAAGAAACAAGAAAAAAAAACACAGAAGTACAAACAAGTCAGATAAGAAGCCTATGCCTAAAAAACATGCAACTTTACCTTCTGTGCATCAGGATTACGTGATCTTTTTATAGTACACGCACATGTACTTTCCCAGGTTCTCCTCATTGGTCCGCACTCTTTTTTTCCTGTTAATATGACCCTGAGAATGCCCTCTCAGCGCTAACACTGCAGGCACTGAGAGGCTGAGGAGACGAAGCGCTGCCTAAGCCAAAATCGGCCAATCAACCAGTTGTGACCGCCAAAAGAGACACGGTGCGACGTTTTGAAGCACTGCGACGTTTTGAAGCACAACACAACATGCAGAGCTTGAATTAAGTCAGTCTTCCTTACAACGAGTGTGAAAACACGCTCGTACATGGCAAAGTCATAGGGCATTTCGGACTTCACGTTCCGATTGATGATGCGCAGATTAAACCAAAACGTCGTGATGGCATCCCTATATCCCATACATCGGGACACGTTTCGATAGACACTGTCGTTCCACTTTTTCGCTACGGCTCTGCGGTACGACTGGAAGGTCAGAGTGACCTTTCCCGATTAAAATCTGATTTTGGGAAAGTGGATTCGACGTACTTTTATCGGTTTAAATCGAAAATGCCGAACCTAAAACTGACCTTTTTCGGTTAAAACCGAATTTTCGAAAATGGATTCGGCGTACTTTTATCGGTTTTTATCGGTTTAAACCGAAAACTCCGAACCCTAGTTATAATTAATTGGCTGATTCAGCAGACCCATATCCTCCTGTGCCCTGCTGCTTAGCAGCGGACAGAGTGTAGAGGAAGCAGTGCCTGATCGAAGACTTTCACACTTCTATACCTGCTTTCACCTCAAGAAAGAAGCAAGTTTTGCGCATTGTTCATACGCGGTGCGAAGTAGTTCTTATGAGATTTGGCTTTGAAGAAAAAGCAATGACTTTTGGTGTTTGGAATGTGTATGTCTTGATAAGGTATTGTATATCTAATCTACAATTCACCTACATATGTCTAAATTATTTACATAAAGGGGGAAATTAGTAATGCTCCGTGGGAAGCCGGACTTGTTTTACTACGGTTCTTGAGGTGAAAACAAGTATAAACATTGAGGGGTTGAATTTAAAATTTTTGTCTAGTAAATCTGGACTGACAAAAAGCTCACTGGAACCTGTTTTCCGGTCTGTTCTTGCAAAGGAAAAAAATCCGAAGCCCTATGCAGTCTTAAAGGCGTTCTTTCGGCCTCTTCTTACACATGCTGAGGGATATTTCTTGAGAGCACCTTCCTTTTTTACTGTCTATGTAAGGCTGCAAACTGACGACTGGAGTGTAGCTTGAAAGACGCAACGGTCGAAGCGCTGTGCCATTTGCGCCAAATTGTGCCATGAACGAAAGTCTGCTACAACTTGCTTTAAAAAGCCGTTTTTGCTAAGAATTCCGCCACGCCTACGCCGAGATGGGCTTAAAGCAAAATAAATTGGATCCCAGGTGAAAATTTTCGACTGGGACCAACTGGTCCCAGTTCCAACTGGTTTATGGAACAATTCCCAGTTGCAACTGGTCCCAGCTGGAATTAGTCCCAGTTACAACTAGTCCCAGTTACAACTAGTCCCAGTTACAACTAGTCCCAGTTACAACTGGTCCCAGTTACAACTGGTCCCAGTTACAACTGGTCCCAGTTGGAGTTGGTGCCAGTTACCGCTGGTGCCAACTCCAGCAACCATGAAACACGGCACAAAATGGAAGGTTGACAAGTCTTTATTGTCGAAAACTTGGAGAATAAAATTAAATAATAGGTTCAGTGACATACACGCTTCCGGGTTTAGGCACTTGTTGAGATGATTGAATCGCTTTTTCAGAGGTAGTATTCGTGAAATAAAGAAAGATCAACCTCTGGCGTCTGTTAGTGAAGACTTCCTCAGCTCCCCTCCCCATCGCGTGAAGAAAGGTGCTCACCCGTGTTCCCGCGTTGCGGAGGTAAAGCCCTGATACGATGTGGTAGCGCTCCCACCTAGCAATCCAACATTTCCAATTAACTCTGTCACAACAGTCAAACATTTTTGAGGTAGACCTCCCGCCATTTTCTTCATTGTGCTGTCCGCGGCGGTTTTCTCTTCCGTCTGGTCTTTCCTGGGTGCCTTCCGATCGCTGAACTGCATCTTTCCATCCTCGAAGTTCACCGCTGTCACCATGGTGTGTGTACATTTGGGTCCAAAGAAGCGCAGCTGTGGTTTTGACGTTTTTATAACGATGTCAACTTCGACGATGGCAACCCTTCTCTACTGCATCCGTCTGACGTTGGTAGCACATGCAGCGCCATCTGACGACAGCACGTACCACTAATCCGCACCCGCGTGCCACGGCGGCCGGCTAGCTCTGATTGGCCAAAAGATGAATTTATTTATTAAAAGAAAAAAAAATACTGTAAATATTTAAATAATTGCGTTACTACATTTTTATTATATGCACTAAGTGTTCATTTTGGTGAACACATTTTATGTCACTAATCATAATTTCCAATTAAAAGAAATTATTTAGTGAATTACATTTTTATTATTTTTATAAATACATAAATGTACTTAGTAATTAAAAATTTTCCTATTTGTATAAATCTAAAAATTTAAGTATTTTTAGTTTTCTTAAATTGGTTGCCCCAGGTGAACTGGGAATAGGAAAACCATTTGAAGTCCGACTGGGAATCCCTCCAACAAGCTAACTGGTCCCGGTTTATTCCATTCCTAACTGGGAGTGAAACTAGTTGCTGGCCCCAGTTGGTCCCAGCTGATTCCCAGTTGGGACCAGTTAGTCCCAGTTGAAACCAGTTGAGGTGCCAACTGGTCCCAGTTAGAAATTTTCGCCTGGGATGTTTATTATTGGTCGACCCTGCTGATATTCAGACAAGTAGAAGGAAAGAAAAAATAGTACAAATAGGAATTTCACAGCGTCTCTACTCACCGTATAGTTTGTTTCCTCTTGGGTCGGAGCACAGTCGAAGCCTCGAACTCAAACAACCACAAACACACATACTCAAAGCACAAGTCACAGGACATTCGCTGCTCTTGATCGGCTTAGCAGGCGAAAGAACTCGTACAAGGAGATGACGAATGCCATGATGTCGCGCTTTGATGCTGTGAATCAATTCCACTCTGGCCGGTTGATGTGCCGGCTGGCCGATAGCCGACATCGTCTAAATTTCCAGACGACGTCGTCGATGTCAGGAACTTAGTGTGATAGCCGCTGCGCAAATTAGGTTCGGGATTATTACAGGTCAAACTTCTTTTTTTCAACTAAAAAGTTAATCTCTAATTTAAAAAGAAAAAGAAATGAGCGGAAAAAGAGAGAGAGAGAAGAAAACACTGGTCTATTTATTTGAATAAATATGGTAGTTCCCATGTAGCTGTCGATCGAGAGAGCAGCAAACTTTGACATAACTCTGGTTCCTATGCCACTAAAGAGCAGGGTCATATTTGAAGCGCAAGTAGAGGCTTCTTTTTTCATAGTTTTGGGTGGTTATTTTTGCAGTTTATGGTATTAGTGTTGAGTTTGGCAGGCTCATTAAACTTATGGGATGCATTTTTCTTGGTAGACATGTTAGCGGCTATAGTTTTTCTTGCTGGCATATTACAGAAATTATTTTACGTGCTAAGCAAACTACTGAGTGTAGGATGGAGAGGGGAGGGAGGATTTATTCCAATGAAGTGTTGTGCTATGATTCACTTCTCAACCAATTTTTAATACCCATTGTAAATGAAACCTACTCCGACTAGAGCCTTATTTAAGAAGAGCTGTGTTCTTTTTACGCCCCATCTATTCTTATCACAAACAGTGGTAATATGCTAAAAGTATAAAAGAAGAACCCCTAATCACTATCATAAATGAACTCGTTATGCAATCACTTTTTCATTCTCATCTGATGTGCTAACAGATGTTGGCATCTGGTCCAAAAATGTCAGTGGCTGCTTCAAACCATAATTTTGCCTGCGACAGAACCTGCTACAGAAGGTAAAATACTGCTTCAAATACTGAAGAAGTAGCTTGGTCCGTTGCGGCCTGCCACTGCCCTTATACCCCCATGCGTGTCCTCGGATGTTGCTTTGAAATGAACCAATGTCAGCGGTTGTTTATGTACCGCAGACTATACTTCAATCATCCTGATGCTGAGACTGCACCTAAAGTGCGAGCTAGCCCACACTCCTGGCTTTGAGACGTGTATATCTAGGGCGAGCGCTCGTTCTGTGGAACGTTTCGAACGCTGCGACCTCATGTTTTAGGCTCATGGCATTGGCTGTAGTCTCAGCTTAAGGTGAGCAAAGTATAGAACTCGTCAACTTTAGACACGACGGAGACTTGAGGGAGTGTAACTTGTGTTCACAGAGTCTCCGCCGAGGTTTGTGTCCTTGGAACAGATCATGACGACGGCCAACGGAGTGACCAACATGATGCTTGCCCACGAGATTGTCATGGACGACACGTTCAAGCTGAAGAAGCAGGAGTACCCAGAGAAGAGGTACGGAGAATAGTGGGCACTTTCAGCATGGCACAAGCAATTTAAGTTATCAGTGAGATAATTTTTTTGTATGACCTCGCCAGCCTCTTGAGATCAGCAGTGTACGAAAAGAAGTAGTACCTCTACGAAAAGAAATGGGAGGTGTTCCTCCCGGACCTGACAGGATTGTTGCTACTTGCCGTGTGGTGTCACGATACAGAAGAGCAGTTCCTCTAAAGTTGTTTGGGTTCTTTCTTCAATGTGGTGTCCTTAGCCTCACCACATGGGCGTGCCATTTGGCTGAACGGTTTGTGAAGGGGCTCAGCCGAGGCCTTTGCTGTGCAGCTTGGAGCATGAGGTGAAGAAAATCCTGCACCAGGCGTTCTGGCAGGTCTTGGAAGACCAGCTGGCTGAGAGTCCTCCCAACTATGACCAGGCCATGCAGCTCCTCCAGGAAGCCAAGGAGGTCTGCTCTCTTGTACTCTCTTCTGTACAGTATGTTGCCAGGCCTCACCTTCGGAGGCGTTGGAGAGCCTCCCATCTTCATCTCACAAGTCGTCTTTGTCACTGGCAAAGGCATGAACCCGACTGCTTGGTTTCCAAAAGCAGTCTTTCCACGCGTGAATGCTTATGCACGCGAAGCGTTCTGCAGAGCCACTGTCTCATGTCCGTAGCTTTGCTAGCGTTGAGGACAACTTGTGAGAGATAATAGAGAGCTTGATTCAACATGCTTCTGCCAGTATTGACCTTTTTCCAGTTCATATGTGACCTTTGAAAGGAAATATGTACAGAAGGCCACTCTCACGAAAGACAACAAAATAGAAGGGGTTGGCATTTGTGTCTATTGTTACGTTTATTGACGGAGAGTTAGGGCAAACAAATTTATTTGTGTAACGGGCTGAAAATGTTAAGGTTCCATTTTAAACCGAGCTTCCGCCAAAGACTGAAGTTGCTACCAGCACACAGGGTGCCCTGAGGGACGTTGGCGCGTCCATGGGTGCAGACGCTGCTGGGGCTCCTGCTCCCCCACAACACGAGCCTGCGTGCAGAGATCATGGAGGGACTGGACGTGGCCTTGGTGCGGCAGCAGGCGGAGCACGGGACCCTCGACTTTGGCTACTATGCCCGGCTGCTCATCTCGCTCATGGCCCGCATGTGCGCCCCGGTCAGGGACGCCAGCGTGCGGGACCTGCTCAAGATTGAAGGGGTGGTGCCGCTCTTCAGGTGGGAGCACGCCGTGTTCGCACGAACCACGGTCACTCTGCTCATAGACTATACAAAAGACACGGAGTTAGCTGCAGACGTGGCGACAGAAGTACCACATCTGCTCGAGTAATAGCTGCACTTCTTACAAACGAGGCCCTCACCTTTACTTGCCCGCAGAACACTTGTATTGCCAATCGTCGCGTTCTGCATAAAAAAATGCGGCGAATAATGAGGTCGAGAACACGATCCTTTGTAAGAATGCTGTCTGAGCAGATAGAATTTTCGCATGAAGACGTAGTCTCTGTCCTGTAAATCGCTGCCATTTTTCTGCCAATTGTGGTGATTCGCTATCCCCGCACTCCGTGGGAAAGGAGACCCACTGGCTTTGTTCGTAAACAGTGCGGCCATTACTCGAGCAAATGTATATGGACATGCCACAGGCATATTCTAAACACGTTTGCTTCATACAAATATATGCTTCGAACATGTCTGCAGACAGTTTGTTACATGGGCGATGTGACAGGGCCGCCATATACGAGGAATAAACACGCCTAAGCATCTGCAGACTGTCTTTTGTGCTACGTATAAGCAGTGTGAGTGTGGCTTCAGAGCAGCTTATTATGGCAGAGCCAGCGTATCGCCGGTCAGAAAATGTTTGCTGCATCCCATTTTTTTAATCTTACTTTTCAATCTTAAAACATTGAGTTATTTATTGGCGTTCTTGCGTTAGTCGTATGGCCCTACATCGCGCGGTTGCAGTGCAATTTCGGTTTCAAACGCATCCGGGTCTTCTGTCGTCTGGTAACCACGCCCCGCCACGGCTCGCATTTTGCTGTGGAATGTGGTTGTGAAGCCTGATTGTGGGTTGTCATTATAATTCAACAAAGCTAAGCAATAAAAAGTTATAGCCCCATGGGGGATTTGAACTCGGGACTTTACGAAGTCAGTAGCAAGGAGGTATGCGTGCGTAAGGTCTCTCGACCGTTTACCTGTCCGTTTTAAGCTGCATATTTTTGCCGGTGTAGCCGTAGGACTTACCGTAAACTGCCGCAGAAGCACCCGCTTTGTTCAAGCGCCCACTATTAACATTTCCCAAACTTGGTAATTCTGCAAATTACGAGTGAAGTGCCCAATTTGACCGTACAAGTGCCCATGTCTAGGTTAACCCAGTTTTCAGTGAAAGTGGGGTGGGCACTCCTTCGGTATTTTACGGTAGTATTTCATATTTCCCACCACTGGCAGTCATGAGTTTTTCTATATTTTATTTTACCACGACCTGCCTCGGCAGTAACTTGAAACGCCACTCCCCAAGTATGCAAAGGCGATTCGTTTTGCTTGTACAGTAGACTCCCTTTAAGACGAGCACGAAGGGACCCTGAAAATTTGTTCAAGTTATCAGATGTTCGTCCTAACCGAAGTGCCCTAATTATCATGCTGGGCATTTCTAAATTGCTGTATACCAATAAACACAGAATGAAAAGGCCTACAATAAAGAGATACTTAAAAAGGGACATTCTTTGGGCTTACCATTGCAAAACAAGAAAAAAAAATGTTTCACATACCACTGGGAGGGGGGGGAAACCGATCCATTCGGTAATTTTTGACTGCCTCCTCCTCTGTGCAAACCGGTGTCTAACAATGAAAGACGACATGTGGCCAATGTTCCTGAGAAAACCTTTAGAACCTTCCTGTTTCAAAAAGAAGAGTTTAGTTTAGTTCACGCCGTAATTTGTGTTCAGGTACGCTCGCGCGTGTGCGGTGCATGCGTGTTTGTATCTGCAGCTCCAGTGCGGCCCGACCACCCTCTCCACTCTGGCGCTCTCCTCCTTTCTCCTTCCCGAACACTGCCGTTACGCAATGCGCGGCGTCGCCATCGGTGCAGTGCCGTCGCGAAGGGGATCTATGGAAGTTCGAGTTAACCAAAACGCGCATGCAAAAGCGGTTTGTGTTAAAAAATTTTTTTTGCATGCGTCTATGGGAAACTAACCAAATGTTCTTACTTTGTTCGACATATCCGAAGATTCCACTTAAGCGAGTTCGCCTTAACGGGAGTCTACTGTATTACCGGCCTTCTCGTCCTTTATCTGCGAGTGGGCCAACACTTTTCTGGTCAAAGTGAGAACATAGTCGTGGCTCGTCGTTTGGCTAGCATATCGGGACGCGACTTCGGCCGATCAAGGTTGCAAACGATTCCCTCTCAAACTCTTCTCTGTAGCATGACATACAATAGCACACACAACTTACGGTGTCTACGTACGGCTCGAAACACAAAATTCGTCCACGGTGCGATAGGCAACGCTTGCCATAGCCTTGCTGGAGCGGCCAGAGCTCAATGGGGTCGGCCGTCTTATAAATTTTCAAGCATAATATCCAACGTCGGATGGCATCTGTCAACTTGCGTGCGTAGCGTCATAATGACGCCCCTGTGGGAGCGATATCTAATGCTCTGGCTTCGCCCATCAAGTCCGGTCTTTGTTGCCATCGCATGCAGACGACACAAATTTCCCATTGGTTGCCTATTGGGACGTATTTCAGAACTGAGAAAGAAGCTCTCTGGGAAACCCAAATTATCTTTTTGCTCTACTAAATAAACCCAGACAATAAAAAAAAAATGAATGTGGCTTGTATAATAAATATAGGGCAGGGATTCCAAATCGACATGCAACTCAGATTTAAGGGAACAATGTTTGACGACCGCTTTTACTACGCTACTTGCTGCTCTGGAAACTTTGGTGGTTTCTAGCCCAGTAAAGTTTGCCACTACAGATAACACTAATGCATGTAAAAAAAAAAAAATTTGATGTTTTTTTCTTTTTTTTTTTGCAGATGGAGCAATTTTTTGTGGCATTTGAATTATTTAGATATAGTATGGCTCGGGTCTTAGTTACAGACGGCGTCTCTAATCTTCCATCTTTACAACGGGTTTGTAGAACCCACGCCCATCTTTTCAACACCACGTGCGTCCATTAAGTTTTTTGAGAAACCCGATTGGTCGACTCCAAACGTCAGCAGCTTGCCTCTGGTGTTTCATTTTGCTTCCGGGAAAAGCTTTCCCATAGCGTGACAAAAAGATTCCCGGCCAGGTAATCTCAGTACTGTGATGCCGCTTCAGACCTCTTCCTCAATCAAAGCAGTTCTAGGGGCCACATGCCATGCCAAGCACCTGCAATACTCAGTTGACCACCAAGTTTCGGTTGGCTATCCTCGCTTCACGACATTGCGTCGCGACCAAATAGAGTTCTTGCATTTTCAATTATGCGACTTTCTTTAAATTTATTACTCTAGGTGTTGCCTATATACGGATAGAATGCTGGGGCACACTTTTTAGGGTTCCCGACATGCCGGATTTTTGCGCAGATAAACACAGGACGATGATCACGCATGGAAGGAGTATACTGGGCTGATCGTCCTGTTCCATTGGCTTCTCAATGTCCTGGGCTTCTTAAATTGCCCGTCAGCCGGAAGGATCATGCTGCACTCTAATGTGGTAGCCATGGGCTGCCAGAGAGGTATGGGACGTGGCAGACCATACTCCTGCTCCTCGCTAAGCCTAGGCTGTCCCCTTACGGCTGCCGCAGGTCTGTGTTTCAACGGGGACACCCACGAACACGAATGGGCACAATGCAAGCGAGTGCAGACTTCATTTTCACGCAGTACTCAGATGCACCACATTGTCATTGGGGCGATTAAAAACCTGCCACCGTGGCATAACCAGGTATGCAACACGCCCATGTATGCGAGGGTTTTTGAAAGTAGTCAACAGCCTGTGTACTGCTTCTAAGGCACTTTAGACGGCCCGCAAAAACCGGGTTTTCAACGAATTGCGCTGCAATTCACGACAGAGGTGTAAGCAAGTGGTGGAAGTTGGAAAAGATCAAGGAATGAACTTGCCTCGTTCAAAACAAAAAAAGAGCCTGTTCTGGGTGATCTATGCCGCCACTTTGCAGATGATGCACGCGTAGAGAGAAGTGCTACCGACAGGGCGCACACGGCGTTGAGGGAGCGCTGGCCGATTCGTGTTGATAGCAGACGATCTCGCAAAAGAACACGAATCGGCCGGCGCTCTAGACGCGGCGTACGCCATCTGTCAGCAGCGCTTATTCCTACACATCCATTGTCTGTGAAGTGATGGCTTAAATTGTCCAAAATAAGTTTTTTTTTTTTTAATGAGTTAAGTGTATTTTTTAATTTTTTCGCTGTAAACTTCCACCTGCTTGCACCTTTGTAGTTAATTTCAGCATGGTATACGTTGAAAAACCGATTCCTGTGGGTCGTCTGAAGTGCCTCGGAGACGATAGTTAACACGCTGTATTTGTAACATTCCACTCCCGCCTTGATCCCGCCCTGGCCCGCGCCGTCCCTTTTCCCGCAGGGGAATCATGGACCAGCTGGAGGTGATGAAGCTGGACATGGTGAACTTCACCATCCAGGAGGCCCGACCCCTGATCCAGTCGCACTCGGTGGGCTACGCCCGGGAGAAGTTCCGGACGTACCTGGAGACCCAGGCGCTGCTCAGCCCCGGCTTGGACCCCCTGGTGCACACCCGGGCCTGGCTGCGCAGGAGCCATGAGGAGCTGCGAGCCCTGAGCGCCCAGTACAGCCCGGACCCTGTGTTGAACGGGCCTGGGGCATCTGGGCCCCCGTTTGCGGTGGTGCTGGCCAAGGCCTACATCCAGCTGCTGTGCTGGGACCCGAGCTGGGAGTACCCTGAGGTGAGGGCCGGGGAAAAGGGGATGCTAGGTCCTTGTCTTCCCTTTTATAAAACCACTAAAATGAGAAAAAACATGTTTTTCTAAAGGGCTTGAATGGCTGAAATGCATATTTTTCCCTTAATCCCCCCCCCCCCCCCCCCCCCTGGCCCCCTCTCAAAAAAACTTTTTTACCAATATTTTTACGTTAGGTGCAATTTAGGTGGAGCTCATTACCCTCTCTAGGCCCCGCCCACAGAATGGTAGCCCCACCCACAGAATGATAGCCCCGCCCATTACTACTGGATTGGCTTGGCTGCTTAACTAAACATGTTTGCAGGCATATGTCTCTCTGTCACAACGTCCGGTGCACTCTAGCCTGCTGTCAGGACCGTCTGCTAGTCGTGCGGGCAGACGCGCAGCAGCGTATGGCGTCGTCTGCAATTAGGACACATTCTACAACCACCCATAGAGCACCCGTCAAACGTGGCCATGAAAGCAGTGCTTCCTCCTCCGTTGTCGCTTGTGTGTCTGCTATTTCGCTCCCGTCTGAATCTGTCCTCGACGATCGGCAGACGACCATGAAACGGTGTTCTAGCGTTCCATCGTGCACAAGCTACGATCTAATACAAGTGTCTGTCAGTGTCTGTTGATGCGCAATAAAATGCAACTTAAAGAACTAACAAAAAAATCAACAAAATATGCAGTCCTTTCAGCTTTTCTGTTCTTGTTGTTTCCTCGCAAAGTGTCCGTGAGGAAGGTGGGTGGCCATCATGACGAACAGTTAAAAAGCAACATAAAAATATTTGGTTTAGGAAGCCAGGTGCGCTGCTCAAACTTTTATAGCTACGTGCCTTCCAAAGCAAACTAATGGAAACATACCTGGACAAGCCTGTCGCGAGGAAAACACCCGATTTGTTCCAGTCAAATGGCTTGCAAATTCTTACCTGTCTAGGTTACCTCTCAGTACTGAAACCATGGTTGCAGTCCCGACAACTGCACGATTCTCAGAGTAGCAGGGTTGCTTTTGCAGGCGCCGACAGATTTATCGAGCATCAAAACGCGCAAACGAACAAATCAATCATGATCGAGCACAATAGCTGACATGGGATGCTAGGCTCACACCAGTCCCTCTACGAAAACAAGCGCCCGCACAGCGCTTCCAAAGGCAGGTACTTGCGACAGTTGTTTGCTGCAAACTACGTTGGTTGAGACTATCTTACGCTAAAAACTTCGGTGAATGTGAAGGAACTCGCACTCGTAAGAACAGGCAAGCTCAAAGAGCTATGCAGTGTTTCAAATGCTCGCCGTAAATGCCAGCAATCATGCCTGTTATCGTTTGAAACCAAAAAGAAACAAAAACAACCAATCTTGATATTTAAGAAAAGAAATAATGACTATCTATATAATTTGTTTCTCCACACAAAAAAAAAAAAAAAAATGGTGTCTAATAAAAGAGTACCACGGCAGGGGGAGACAATTTTAGAACAAACCAGGATGTCTACCGACCGGGAAAACTGGGAATTGTTAGGGAATTTTAAGACACCTGGAAAAGTCAGGGAATTGTCAGGGAAAGTTCCAAAAAAAGTTGCCGAGTCAGGGAATTTATCTCATGTTCGCCCACTCATGCTAGAAGCGGCAGGCACGAGCGCAGTTAAGTGCGGCGGCACGACGTCTGCGCGTGATTTGCACTTTGTTAGAGTGGGCTAGAAACATCTGAACGAGACGAGCTGCCGGGTCTGGTTGAAGTGCCGAATGTCGAAAGTTGGCGTGGCGGCGCTGCAATCGAGCTAGCTTGGGACACGATGCAGCGACGTGGAGTGCGGCTATTGCAAACGCTGATGAACGCCGCTACACGCAGCTGGACGCGCTGTGAGCCAGCCGCGATGCGAACGCTGGAGGATGCCGCTAGCGCCGCGAAAGCGAACATGAAGTCACTCTACCGCGAACCAGGTGCGACTCATGAAGGCACCCTAGGCGCAGCGCCGCCACGCCAACTTTCCACGCGCTGCGCTTCACTGGAGAGCATGTGCAGGGCATAGCAGTTCGTCGTTCTTCTAGTACACTCTAGAGCCACTAAATAAGCTACACTTTAGAGTAGCAACACTTAAGTATGACGGCTAAAGCGCTATGGGCTAAAGAGTTACTAGTGAAGCGGAGTGGCAGCGGCTATTTTGCTTAGTTCGTGACTCTAGTCAGGACTGTCAAGTGGTGTTGCTCTAGTACGCTCTGGCGTTATCGTGACGCAGAAGAAACAGTTACTCTAGCCGATACTAGGTGGCGCGAGTCACCACTCATTCAGAAGAGAACTGCCGTCGGTTCATCTACCTTCTGAGAGGTGCGCGCCAGAGCCGTATATGGCGCGCGCCTAGCAATCCATTCGTTTGTCAGATATGTTTTCGGTCCCCGTAAACGCAACTGAACTCCTGCACTCCGCGAGCTCTGCCACGTGTGTTTGTGGCTTTGGGTTTGGCGTTCTACTGTGTTGTTTTCCTGAAGTGGAGATACGTGAAAGTGACTTTGTCGCTGTCGAAGAAGTACTCCCTCAGCCTCGACTGGACAAACCCGGAGATATCCACGAATGCGAGTTGGATTCGGCCCATTCCGAATTATCCAAATAGTGCTCGCTGCACAATGTGCTGCAAGAAGTTCTCCCTGAGCAACGTGGGGAAACGTGCGATTACTAGTCATGTTGAGGGTAAGAAACATCAAGCTGCTATGAAATCTCTGCAAAGCGTTTTCCAGACCCCAATCGTATAATTTTTCAAGACTGCATCAAATCAGGACTTGCCTTCCTCGACAGCAACGGGCGTTTTGTCCGGAGGTAGCGCTAGTGCTTGTAGCGCTCCGGCAGTGCGTCTATCCACCGCCACGGAAGCTCTTAGCCCGTCTGTGAAGACGTCGGTGAGTGGATTTTTATTGAAGGATGAAGTCACAAAGGCTGAGATCATGTGGTGCTTGAACACTATAGGAAGTATTCACTGGTGGCCATAGCTGTGTGCGCGACTGCTGAGCGCGTCCTGATGGCGAGCTTCCACAGTTCTTTTGTAACGTGCATTCCGTACCCTCAAGATTGCCGGTATTAGCAGCCTATTAATGTGGGCTCGTTCAGAGCATGCACTCTAGACATCACCCACAAATATGGCGCCCAGTTAATGCTCCTTACAATGACTCACGGTTCTTTCCGTTCAGCGGCAGCATCTGCCTCGCCAGAAAAATGCAGCTTGGAAAAGACAAAGTCGGATACACCATATGTCATGGCACCGGTCCATACTTTCAAGAGAAGTTGCTAGCGAGCCTCTCTAGCGTGCCACATCTGGTGGTTGCTTTTGATGAGTCACTGAACAAAGTAACCCAGGGAGAACAAATGGATGTACTGGTCAGGTACTGGGACCAAACTGACGCCACTGTAAAAACACGCTACCTAGCTTCGTGTTTCCTGGGGCACACCTACGCAGAAGACCTCGCATCTGCTTTCAGGAAAGGCACAGAAGTCATTAAGCAGACAAAGATACTACAAGTGTCAATGGATGGACCCAATGTAAATTTGAAGTTTCTGAGGTCCCTTAAAGAAGAACTTGGAGCCTCCGACACCAATCACCAGATCCTGAACATTGGAAGCTGTGGACTCCACGTCGTCAGCGGTGCATTCAAGGCAGGTCACGCTGCGACGCACTGGGATCTGGTAGTGTTTCTTCGTGGGAGCTATAACCTGTTCTAGTGTGTGCCGGCACGTCGGGCAGACTACGTCCACTTCACGGGAAGTGCTCTGTTTCCGTTGAAGGTCTGCTCAGTAAGGTGGCTGGAGAATAGCAAGGTGATCTCGAGAGCGCTTGATTTTAGTCCAAACTTGGTTAAGTTTGTGGAATGCTCAAAGGAAGCAAAAAAAAAAAGCCAGCATGTGCTAGCTACAGCACTGTTGAAAAGGCAGTAGGTGACCAGATGCTGCCAGTGAAATTGGCGTTTATGCTCTCGATTTCTGAATAACTTGAGCCATTTCTAACTGAATTCTAGACAGACAAGCCCATGCTTCCCTTCCTTGCCCCTGCGTTGGATCGCCTCTTACGGTCACTGCTGGCTAGAGTCGTCAAGAAAGATATCCTACAAGCTGCCAACACATCTTCCAAGCTGCTTAGGATCGACTTGGAGAAGCCTGACAACTTCGTTGCAGCTGCTGCATTCGACATTGGGTTTGCTGCTGAAAATGAGCTTCGCAAGATCCAGAAACTACCGCAACTGACTGTGCTCGGCTTCAAAAAAGACTGTATTTCCTTCGTGAAGAGGTGTTCACAAAAAGTGATGCAAAGGTCACCTTTGAAATACAAGTTGACAAGAGGTGCAAGCTGCTTGGATCCGGCTAGTGCGTTGTCCCCGGAGGTTGGTGAGAAACAACTGTGCATTGCACTGGAGGTGCTAAGGAAGCACCAGTGGATGACTGGCTTGGAAGCAGAGCGAACCCACCATTCCTATGTAGATATATGCTCACTCAGCTCTGTACAGGTGGCGTTGAAGGACTTTGACAGGAAAGAGCGGAGGCTGGACACCCTCTGGTTTGAGTTGTGTTCACGGGACCACAAAGAGCTATTTTTGTTTGTCAAGCTAATACTCCGCTTGTCTCATGGCAACGCAGCTGTGGAACGGGGTTTCTCTGTGAACAAAGAGTGCCTTGTCGAAAACCTCAAGGAAGATTCGCTGATAGCCCAAAGAGTGGTGTATGATGGAGTGTCAGCAAGGGGAGGGGTGGCCAAAGTTTATCTTACGAACAGGATGCTGCAAATGGTTTGTGGTGCCAATGCCCAGTGGAAGGAGGAGCTACAAAGAAAGAGGCTAGAGAGATTGGACGCATCAGAAGCCGAAAGGAAGAAGAAGAGAGTGGCCTCTCTAGTCAAGGAGCTTCAACAAAAGAAGCAAAGGGTCCTAAACGAGCCAATTGCAGGCTTCTCGTTTCGACGAAGAAATTAACTCCCTGAAACAGTAAGCCCTGGTCAATGCTGTATTCCAAACATCTTCAAGAGTGAAGACAGTTGCTTTATTTAACCTAAATAAAATATTTTACGTTGTGAATAGTGTCTGCCTATAATATATTGCGTTTTGGTGTCAGTAGTTGTTTCTGGGTGTGGGTCAGGGAATTTAATTAAGATAGTCAGGAAAACCTGGAAAAGTCAGGGAATTTGAAGAAAACATTTTGGTAGACACCATGAACAAACATTCCACACGTCATTCATCTCTCAAACTACTGATAGCTGAGGAAAGGTGCTTAGCTAGCTAAGCACCGGGCAAGGTTTAGAGCAGGGCTGCCCTCATGTAAATTGCGTCAAACTACATAAAATATTTCTGACAAATTTTTATGTACAAAAAATGTGTGTTCTATCTAGCCCTAAAAAAAGTCCTTTTCTTTCTTTTTTAATCAGGAGAGCTCATGTCTTCATACTTCTAAATATTAAATGCACCACCTATGGGCACCTCTGTATATTCCATCATAAAACAATACATTCAGAAGCTGATTTATGCAGTCCCTTTGAAGAACCAATTGGGCTCACACTTTACTTTGTGCCTATGAGACTAGACATGCGGCGTAGGGTTTAACACTGGGAAAGGATGGAATAGTCTCTCACGGCTGACTGCCGCATGCTTGCAGACGCTGTCGATGGACCGTGAGCGCTTCACCCTGCTGGGGGCCCAGGTGGAAGAGTGCGCCCTGGTGGCCAGCGTGCTGCTGGTGACGCACAGTGTGGGTGGGGCATCCCTGCAGGACATTTCGGACTTCAAGGAGGACCTCAGAAGCCACACCCGGCTGCTGCTCCAGGGCTGCGGGAAGTGCAGGTGAGGAACGCTGCCACGGCCTTGGGACCTCGGTTATGGAACTGATCCCAGCTGGATTCAGATGGATTATGGAACTGATCCCAGCTAGATTGAGATTGATTATGTGGAACTAATCCTAGTTGGATCCAGCTATACTATGTTATGTTTGGTAATTAACTGGAATTTATTCGTCTACTTGGACAAATAAAGGCATGAAGAGAACAGTTACAGAAGCATGGTGTGACTGTTACAGTAGGGCGGCCATGTTCTCTTTTTGTGTTGTTTTGCCCATGGTTGTTGCTTCAACCTTCCGTTAGGCTAAGCATAACAAGATGGATCATGGGACTGGTCCCAGCTGGATTCAGATGGAATCTGGAACTGGTCCCAGCCAGGGGAGTAAAGGTGGGTGAGGAGGAGTGGCGAATCCTGTGCGCCGACAACTGGAGTCTCGCGTGAAAAATCTCGGAAGAGCGCGACAGAACTCGAGAGAAAGAAACCAATGTTGCCAGCTGAAGGACGACAGTCGCAGTGGTAATCGCGAAGATTGAAAACTCTCAGTAATATAAACGGTGATGATATAATGTTGTAAACTAAGTTCCGAGCTATTCTAACGCTTATAAAAAGTAATATACTCATTACTCTACATTAACTTCCCTTCTGTCAAAATCTCGGAAATGTGGTGGTTACGCAGTTCCCTTTTTCCTGGGGTGCGCCTATCAAAACCATAGCGCGAAGCTTATCTGGTTTAGTTTTGCATTGATGCGATGTTGTACACCTGCGCGGCTATGCAAAAAGAAAGCTTCAAAAGGAACGCGAATACCTTTCCACCGTTAAGTATATGAATCGTTGAAGTTCATGAAACTGCTTTAATGATAATTATATTCGTGAAAGTGAATGCAGTTGGTAACCATGTGTGAGACTCTAAAGGTCTGCCTCCATGCTCCGTTGCTTGTGGCAGCCAGAATGCGTGGGAAAATGGCAAACTTTTTCTCCTGGGGTTAGTATATATGAACTCTATGGTCCCAGCTGAATACGCTTGAAATCAGATGGATTATGGAACTGGTCTTAGCTGCATCCAGTTGGATTCAGATCGATTTTGGAACTGGTTCCAGCTGGATCCAGTGGGGTTCGGATAAATTATGGAACTGGTCCCAGCTGGATCCAGTGGGGTTCGGGTAAATTATGGAACTGGTCCCAGCTGGATCCAGTAGGGTTCGGGTAAATTATGAAACTGGTCCCAGATAAATTCATTTAAATTCAGCTGGGAACTGGTTTCAGCCGAGACCAGTTCCACGATCCAGTTTCAGCTGGACTGCTTTTCACTTCAAAAGCAATGATGTTAAAGAAAGGGTTCACCCAAAGCATTACTCGGAAAGCTAGGCTATTTTGCATTCAGTTTTGAGTTGGAACTGCAGTTACTCAAAATGGGCCTCCAAGCCTGGGTACCTGCACAAAAGTGTGCTTGCAGATAAAGCCACATCCACCCACCTTTCTTTGTGTTTGGTTTGGAAAAATGGTGAACTCTGTGTCCTTAACAAATAAATCTGTCTGAAAAGTGCACTGATCGAGGTACAGAAATGTGTGTCTACTTTGCGTGATTACATCTTAAAACGAAATTCCGGATCATGGAGGCCTATTTTGAAGCGAAACTTTCACCGTTTCTGTTGTCTGCCAGTACTGTAACCGGCCCCTTTCTGGCTAGTCGTTTTTTTTACGTACGCCGTTGCGTCCACCGAGTGCCTCCGAGACGATGTTGGTAGTGTGCTCAAGAACCCTCGCTGGTTGGTTTTGCAGCGAGGAAGAGCTGACGGAGAAGCTGAAGTGTGCTGCCAGCCAGGCCATCAAGGAGGTGCAGGAGAGCCTGCAGAAGCATGGCTTTGCCCCGCTGCAGTTGAGCCAGGAGCGCATGCTGTACGACCAGGTGGTCAGCATGGCCTCTGCCGAACACCACATACGCAAGCTGCTCAGTAAGTCGGACGCTCCGTCTCGGCGGACTCCAGGGTTGATGTGTGCTGAACAGTTCAAGGAGTCTCGTCTCCTAGACAAAATTCAAACAAGCGCACCGAATTAGCAATGGCTTTCGTGGACCCCACTGCTCCTCTCTGGCCAAGATCGTTGTGGCCCTGGTAAAGAAGGAGAGTTTGGACCTGCGAGAGCCATTGATGCATTGACTTGTAACAGAATTCGCCATGGCCCTCCCTCTCTCTAGGCTGTATGGACATTCCCAACAAATAGCCAGGGGCAGATTTGTGGGTGAGGCTTGGGGGAGGGCAGTTGAGGCATTTGGCTGGTGGGCCCAGTCTGCTGAGATATGACGTTACAGCCAAATCGTTGCCCAGATTTATTTTTTTGATCCAATATTTTCTATGTCACCAAAAACTAAACTTGGCTGGTGTACTATATGTATAAATTTTTTCATTAAAAACAGAGTTGACCTTGGCACCTGCAAATATTCCTGTGTTAAGAAAGGCCCTTGCATTTGCTGTGCACATGCTGATGATGCCTCTCTCGTGGGAGGCAAGATGTCTAATGGATTCGTTTTGCATGTATTGTCAAGTCTACTATTCAAGTGTGACGTCTGCCGGCTTTTGGGGTATCTCTGCACTTCCCCTTGACTTCTTTCACTGCCCTTGCAGTTGCCTTCCCTGCTTCGTAAATTTTTCTGCCAAATTATAAAAGGTGGTTTTGAAGAGAAAATTAATTTTTGCTTACTCTATAAGCTTTAGACTTGACACACCCTTTTATTCTTGGCTTGCGGAACTTGCTGCACTGTCCCTCGGCGCCTTTCAGGAACGGGACTTTTGAGTTGCATATTTTCAGGACTAGTTGGGGCTCTTGTCATTGCTTGAGCTGAGCTGTCACTTGTGCTGCGTGCACTTTGGTTAGTGGAAAGGCTAGGTACTCGTCGGATTTCTGTACTCGATCGCCTTCCCTACCCAAGATGCTAATTGGGAATCGGCGAACTAGCACAACTCGTGTGGCGCACGTAAAGCCGCAAGACGTCCAATGTGCTGACATTTTTTTAAAAGAAAGGTTGACACCTCTGCCCCATCTGTATTTTGTATGATTTAATTCGTGGAGCTGGAGGTCTTTATGCTATCTGTAAATTTAACATCCTTTGAGCTACTACTACTATCGGAAAGTTTCCTAAAAGCCGAAAGTCTCCATCCCTGTGTCTAACCCGAGAACGTTGACTAGAACGCGAGCGAGAGAGCTCGCTAAAGTGGGCCGGTTAAAGCGGGCCAGAGCCTAATGTGCGCCTCCTTGTCCTCACATCAGCCATGCGCATCCTGGACTTCATCAAGCTGACCCTATCGTCCGCCAGCGTGGGACCCACTAAGATCCCCGCGGGTCTGTCCACCCTGGAAAAGGAGCTGACGCAGATCGCGGGAACCTTCCTCCGGCTGGTGACCCACAACAGGGCAGTCTTTGGAGAGGTCTACACAGACATTATGACCCAGCTGAGGGCCACCTAGGCCCCGAGCGATGGGACCAACATCTCGGGCGCCACTATGGTGTCTAGATCGCGTCCCCATCTGGTGTGTTTACCGCGCCCTCAAAAGTGGTCCCCCGATGTCCCTGACGACGTTGTATACAGGCGTCACACTTTTGCCCTCCACGATCCTGGCAGAGGTGGCCGCAGCAGCCAGTCGATGGAAGCCGAAGCAGATGCAAGGTGGGACGCTGCAACGACGGCGACCCCATTGCCTTTTTTGCCGGCATTTCGACGACCAGCTGCCAGGATTGCGACATCTGACAGCATACACGCAAGGCTCCTGTGATGCTATTTTGCATCGCGGGATGCATGGGCGGGATCAGGCGGTAAACACACCAGCCAAAGGTGCGTTCCAGAGACCGTGGCGCCACCACTCCACTCTTACGGCCCCGCCTTTGGCGTGATCCCGATTCTGCTCCGCACGAAAGCTTCCTAGTTCCACCGTACGGTCGGCAACCCCATCCTTGCTGTTCCCTGCACATGTTGCATTGTGCGGTGACCTAGTGAGAAAGGCTTACCACCACTCGGGTTTCTTGTAGGCAACGTCTTCGGCAGTTGCCGAGTTGGTCGGTACTCGCAGCTCGTCGCATCTACCAAGGATTGTGCAGTTATCGAACGCCGAGAAACAGCTCTGACTCAGTGCCCCAGTAGCGGAGATGCTCGAGTGTTGTAGCCTTGCCTGTAGCAAAACTGACCTTGAAATATCTTCTGGATGTATGAAACCGCCTTTCATCAACATCCAAGCGTTTCCTAGAGTGCATTTAATCGTGTTGCACCGCAATCCTAACAGGTCGCTGCATCCGGGAGAGCTGAGCGGCCCCAGGGTCTTTCAAAATGAGTTCTTGGATGCTTCTGCCTCTTGTAATCCCTGGCTGGAGTAGTAATTGTTTTCTCCGAGAGACATCTTTAATGCCTGGTGGGAGTGGCATAGCAAACGCCTAGACGCCTCGCCTCTGCTTTTGTGAGGGAGGAATTTGTGGTGGGTCTCTCGTTCTGTGATACGAGAGTGACGCATGTAATGAATTGTGGACGATGATCTGTATGGTGAACGATTGGAGACTTTGGTGCATGCCGTTGTCTCCGAGGGTGTAGGAAGTGTCCTTGTGATTTGTTGTGGCAGGATAAAAGGGTGATCGGCCAAACGACGCCTGGCGTCGAGTGATGTTTACTGTGCCGTCGGGTCAGCGAAGGCACGCAAATAGAAGCCTGTATTGTCGAAAAAGTGTCGTTGTAGTTCAGACTATTCAAAATTTGCGGTATTGCCATATCAAGATTTTGTGTTAAGTCGCTATCTAGGATTTTGTATTTCCTAACCAGATGGATATCCGTTGAAATGTTTACGCTTATATAAATTGTTTCTCATTACAAGTATACATTGTGATTTTTCTAATGAAATTATTGTACAAATGCCTCGCATCACACTAACAATTAATATATATGAAACTATGCGTGCAATGGATTTCGTTACATAAACTTTATTTGTCTAGTCTCATCTTGCAGTGGGAATGTTGTGATGCAGTAACTAGATCTCGACTTTGCTTGCCAAGAAATCTAGTAAAGTAATTTTTCCCGAGCATCTCTTGCCGAGACCGATTTCATGTTACTTGACGCAATAATGCAGAGCTAAGTAACTACCATGAAACATGGCTTCAAAGTTCCCACTTGGAACCATGTACACCTAGCTAAGAAATGCGAGTGATGTCTACTTTGTAAGAAGATTAAGTTTGCCATTTTTATTTTCATTATAAATCCACGTAATAAAGATTGCTTACACGTGAACTGATTGGATTCCTTTGGCTTTTCCTTTATGCAACCCTCAATGCTATTTGAATGTATTAATAAGTCTGCTTATGGCAGTTGTTAATGTACTGTTTTAACCTGGGTCTGTATCATTTTTTTTTCAGCCCCATATTAATTTTGTGGATGTTTAAAATGGATCAAGCAATCGGTGACCAGTATAGTTGCCAAATAAGTCGTAATATTACGCAAATTTCAAACAAGAAATGCAAAATGTTTAGACCACTCTGCCGCATAAAGGGGAACACTGGTCTTGCAGCTCTTTTTTTACAACGGAGCTGTTAAGGGCTAGCTCCCCAGGATCGTGCCCACCAGCAAAGAAATTGTGACACCAAACTCTGGACGGCTACTGCCATCTATGAGCGACGGTGGCCACCAGACAACTGGTTGCTTTCGTCGCTCATAGAATGGCAGATGAAGCTAAATTATTTGAAAACAGCCGTCATGACAGTCTCCTGTAAAAAAAAGCCACTTCAATTTCGTTACTTGATGGACAACCAGTAAAGCGGGTCGAGGAGTACAGGTATTTAGGACTTTTTTTTGACAATAAACTGAACTGGAATCAGCACTTGGAATTAATGGTTAACAAAGCGAGGGGCACTTTGTTTGCGTGCCATAGGAAATTAGAATTTGCCGATTTTGACACCAAACTTATTGCGTATAAAAGTTTTATTAGGCCTGTGCTAGAATGCTAGTTCAGTGTGGTGCCCTTTCACACAAAACGGTATTAATAAGCTTGAAAGTATCCAAAAGTTAGCTCCTCGGTTTATTTTTAATGATTATCGTAGAGAAACATCGTCCACTGCATTAGTTATTAGAGCGAAGCTTCAACCGTTGCAAATGAGAGCGAAAATTGATAGATCAAAGTTCCTGTTCAATGCGGAGGGCAAGTTCGTCTGCTCCTTGCGCAGGGGGTAGCGGTGACGTCAGAACGCCGAGCCCTGATTGGCGGATAGCGACCCCCTATCTGAGCGTCGTCTGCTCCTTTGCAACGTCGTCTGCTCGCAACGTCGTCTGCGTCTCTCTTACCTTTCCTGCGACTTTCGGAAGGGCAGAGGCCAGATTCACGAAACGATCTTACGCCAAAAATGTGCGTAAGACAAAACTTAAGAACAAATTCGTATTCACGAAACGAAATTTTCGTAAGTTTTGCGCAGGTTAGGACGAACTCCTACGACAGCTCCGGAGCTGTCTTACGCACTTCTTACGATCAAATCAGCATGGCCGACAGCGTCGCGGTCGCGACGACCCACAGACATTTATTTTTCTACGTGCGCTTCTCACGCGTCCCGACTTCAAGCAGCAAGAACAAAGTAATAAGTACTTGAAACAGACCACGACGAACAAGAACGCTGGATCCACAAACACCCGGGAAAAGCTCCAACGGCCACGATTTCACCAAACGCGACCAAGCGAGCTTTGCAGTTAGGCCTAGCAGGCACTCCGCGACTCGGCGACCGTCTGCCCATGACCGGCTGGCGTGCTGAATGGAATATGCCCGCGCGACCCTCGTGAACCCTTCCCGTATTATACTTTGATCGCTTAGCTCAATTTTAGATTAAGAGGTCAATTTCTTCCTCTTGTTATCTCCTTGTTTCCCGAGGCAACGGTGACTCTCGCCGGTGAAAAAGCGGTGAATCTCCGACAGACGCAGGAAAGGTAAAGCAGCCATCGCTTTGACTAGCAGACGTAAAGCAGACTACGTTAACTGCGCCAACCCGCCGACGCCGTTAACGAATAAGGGGTCTCGCCGCACACTTGGGAGGGAACTTGCGGACACTAGCACGCTCACCTCTCGGTTCTTAGCAAACAAACCTCGGCGCCTAGGGACACCCTGCCAGTGAGTCCTTTGACTTCCCTCCTTGATGCACGTCTGCTAATTGTTCGACAAAAACAACGTACCGCTCGAGTTATTTCGTCTGCTCTCTCTGAAAGGCAAAGTCGAGCTCGCTCGTCGCAGGAAAGGTAAGACAGGCGCAGACGACGTTGCGAGCAGACGACGTTGCAAAGGAGCAGACGACGCTCAGATAGGGGGTCGCGATCAGCCAATCAGGGCTCGGCGTTCTGACGTCACCGCTACTTCCTTTCTTATGCGCAGAAGACGGAAAGGAGCCCACTTGCGAGGCGTATATCCTTAAAGAGACAATGAAGACGATTTTATTTAATTTTCTTAAAAGGTGTTTTTATGTTTCTTGGGAACATAGCACGCTGCCCAATTTTTTGTAGACATTTGTGACGCGTATTTTTGTGCCTACGAAAGAAGTAAAGAAACCGAAACTGAACAATCTCCATTCTCGTTTCTGGGCCTCCGAAAACGGAGGTGACGTAGGAAGTGACGTCAAGTGTGAATAGTCGGTATCGGTAGTATTTAGGAGATCGAGACTCTGGTTACCGCGGTGGGTTATAGCAGCGCGGTGACGCGGTCGTTTCGCCGCATCTGTCAACATGGACGGCAATGCCGCTTTCGCGAGCGAGTTCTAGCTTTCGTTCAGTGACCGAACACCAACGGGACGGGAGTGCGTATGTGGCGGCCTCTGCCATTACCCGACGGAGACTACACGGAGACCGCCCAGCCGGCAACCAGCGGCCCGCATGCCGAAGGACGGACGCGGGGGAGGTGCGGAGGGGAAAGCGGCAGCGATCCGGCCGTTCCGGGATCCGATTTCTCCACGGACGTCCTCTTTTCTTCGTCAAAGAACAAAAACAGCAACCCACACGTGAAAACTAGCGTCGCCCGAACGAATACTGGTCTTCAGTCGACCGTTAGAACAGCCATCTACAGCTACCATTTTGCAGAATCCTTCGGGAGGCACTCACTTGATCGAATGACGTTTTAGCGAACGCCCACGTTTCACCGAATGACACTTTAGCGAATAGTCGGACGCCGCGAAGCGGCGTTTTCGGGTGGGCCAAATGAGTTCATATTTTTGTAATGAGTTGCCGCAGACTGTCGCCGCGAAGCGGCGTAAAGCGCAGCGCGACGGATGGGTTAACGCGCGCCCCCGTTATTCGCTAAAACGACCATTCGCTCAAATGTCGCCGTTCGCTAAAATGTCATTCGCTCTTGTGATATGGTCCTTCGAGTACCGTGTTCTTTTTTTAATTGTATTTTGTTTGCCCATAGTTGCTCGTTGCCCGTTTCGCGTCCAGCGTAGCAAAGAAAAAAATTATGCTGCTTTATTTACTTGTGAATGGGGCCAGCTGAACATGGAAAACACACAGAGAAAAAATATAACATTCGCACCGCTACAGTAATCGTCTCCGGTCCCATTTATACTTTTCATGGTTATTCAAGCGGAAATTAGAACAGTATTCCTAAAAATGGCGAACCACAACGTGACCGAGGGCACGTTTCTCGTTTCGACCAATCGCTGACGCGTCTCTTGTGACGTCGCGCTTCTTGGCCTCGCATCGGTCACGTGATCTCCGCTTCTCCTGGCTTCTCCCGTAACTCTCGGGGCGTCGCCCCAGTCGATCCCGGTACGATTATTACCGCGACTGTTTTAATTGATTTGAGCGGCACACAAGCGCCAGTTTCGGCTGAAATTTGGGCAGCGTGACCTGAGATGTGCCTGGAACCCAGTTCAATCGCCAAAAAGATGTCCGAAATTGCCTTCATTCGAACCACGGATATAGTGGTGACTTACTGTCTTTTGTATGGCGTATAAGCAGTGTGACCCGGCTTAGAGGAGCTTCTAGTAGTGGCAAACACCACAATATGACCTGCATAAAGTGCGTGTTAAATAAAAAAAGCACAAGCCATTCCACTCTGTAAAGGTGGGTGACCACCGAAGCTGTTTAGCGAACGACACAGACCCGCCCCGAGGAGCCGGGGGAGCGGTCCCGTCTCGGGGGCGACGTTTGGGGTTTCGTTGGTACCCATTTTTTGTCGCGCGCGTTTGAAAGCTGTAAACTAAAAAAGTCTAGCGCTGTAAAAAAAAAAAAAAAAAGATTTGTTTTGCGGAAATATATTTTTGTACCGCCAATATCCGCGTCTATGACCCGCCGTTCCCAAGCGGCCCAGTGCACGAGACCTTTCTCTTTGGGTATTTAGGCGAAAGCATTATGTCTCATCGTTCAGTCGACCTTCAAAGTCCTTCAGTGGAAACAAATCGGCGACACGAAAAAATACCAAACGTTTACGTGACCACTCAGTGGATGACTAAGCGAACTAAGATGATGACTCAGCACATTGAGAAGGATGGCTTAGCATATTAAGAGGGATGACTCAACACATTAGGAAGGATGACTCAACACATTAGGAAGGATGACTCAGCACATTAAGAGGGATGACTTAGCGAGTAAATCGTGTGTCTGTCTTTAATGCATCGGCGATTGGGATCTCGCATTCAAGTCGTCTTAGAAAAAAAAAATTGTGTTGTGCGTATGTTTATACGGCCTAGAACTTGGTCTGCCTCAACGGGTGACGAGTCTTCCAGCTGTAGATGAGCAATTTAGCCAGTGCGGTACAACCGCTAGCCTGCAACGTGCATCACGCAGTAGTGATACATGACCGCACCCTGTTATGATGCTCATCCAGATGGAAACGGACAGGGGCGGGGATTGAACCCAAGATTCTGGGTTCTGCAGCGCGAGCTTTGGCTCCACGTGCTCCGAGCTGGTGTGCGCTATCCCACTTGGTCACCGACCCCATTTCGTCTTATGGCGAATTCCACTGGTCGTTTTGGAGCGCGCCGGGAACGACTTTTCTGGAGCGAGCCTATTTCTCTGGGCGATCAGGATCGAGACCGACGTGTTTCACTAGTCGTTTTGGATTAGCTCCCGCTCCAGATCTCAATCTGGATTCGAGAAAAGTCGCTCCCACGATTTCGGCGGATTCAACCGGAAGCCAGCCAGGCCAGCCCTCGGTGCACACACGCGACTTCCCTTCTCGTGGGGCATCTCGCCTGATCTCGCCCATCTCGCCTCAGAAGAAGAAGAAGCACGTCGCGGGCTGGGCTCCTAGATTGTCTCGACATCAGAAGAATTCGTAATGGCCGCTTGCTTACCCCTTGGCTCGACAGCCGGTTCGTTTTCGAGGAAGGAGAAGAGAATGTATTTGCCGCGCTACGGGCATTCCGGCAATCTTTGCTCGCTTGAGCCATTCCTGCCGCTTGTGCGTCGAACACGTGTTAGCGCCGCGATTGCGAAAACGTCTTCGAAACGACCGCGGCGGCCGCGGAAAGGGGATTCCCGGGCAGTTGAATGACGGGAAGGCATCCGCCGATCCCGGAGCAGTAATCATGTTCCACCGGGGATCCGTAGGCGGCGCGACCCCGTTCGTATCGTGTGCTCCAGTCCGGATCTGGTCAACTGATCCCGGCGCGCTCCAAAACGCCCAGTGGAATTCGCCATTAGGGATAACATAAGAGACTCTGTGTTATAATAACGCTATGCCGCAGCCCGACGCCTTCGCTTGGCGCCGCAGGAAGGAAGAGAGAACAGGCAGCAGAACAATGGCACGATTTGAGGAACAGGCGACCACCGGTGCGCGCAACGGGCTAACCAGTGACGGAGCATAACAATCGCTTTTCAGGTGTCTTCTGCCGCTCTCCATTAACATTGTGGTTAAAAAAATAAAAACGAAATAAAATTTAATTATTGCATTACAACGTCTTTGCCAGCGAAGTATTTTTGTCATTGGGGAGGCAGCTGTCCCATTTCCCTAAATACAACATGTTTCTTTTTTTAAATGAGCAAATTTTAGTAATTGAAACTGAGCCAATTTAGGCGGAAATTTGGACTATATCTTAGGGTTCATCGTTTCCAGAAGTTAATAATCCAAAATGGGTCCATATTGTGCTAGAAAAATAAAAAAAAAAGGTAAAAGTGGCCGCGGTACAGGGCTCAAAGTTTGTCCAATAAGCGCATATTCCTGTTTACCTCAGTTTCGCTTCACATATTTTTAACTCATTAAAAAAAATAATAATTCAACACCTTTTTGCGCCAAGGCGCGCATGTCCTAGTCCTTTGCTCTTTTTTATTCTTCGTCCATTTTTTTTTGAAATTTTGTGTACCTTCGAAATGACAAAAAGTACATCGAAATGTGAACGACACTCGAAAATAACGAACATTCGTGATCGTATTCGAGGTAATTATTTCTGACTCAAATCATCCTTGAAAAATTCTCTCGTCTCCGGCTGTCTCAATGCAAATGATGTGGCACGGTCTATAAATCTTTGTTTCTCAAGTCGGTTCAACCAAGCTCGCTCAAGCAGACATCCCTCTAATCCAAGAACTTTGTGGGCACAGTCTGCCTTATGGACAGGGCCACGGCGAAGGCGTCGTTGTGGACGAATCCCTCATGGTCCATGGCGTCCAGAGTGATCATTCTGTCGAAGCCGCAGCCCTCGTTGAGACCCGAGTCACTGGGCCTAGAGAAGCAGACGAGTAGATCCTTCCTGGCGCCGGGGACCAGGTGCTTTCTGATGCTCTTTCTACCAGACTCGGGGTGGACCAGGGTGAAGAGCAGGGGCTTCTTGACCGGCCAGTCCTGGAACTCGTCCATGGGGCCCTTGAGGAAGATGACGTACAGCCCGAGCCAAGCTTCCGACGGGTCGCTCCTGTCGATGTCCACCTGCCACCGGATTCCATTTTATTACGAATATGGACATTGCACGCGTGGGTACTACTGTTCATACACTGCCAGAACCTCCTAGTTGGCTTGCACCTGACGTCATCGTGCCATACTGGTGGTCAATACTAGGCGGAGTCTTGTGGATCTACTACTGATGACGTTTGGGGGGGGGGGGGGGGGGGGGGCGAAGGCCTTGTCTTCTAATAATAATAATAATAATAATAATAATAATAATAATAATTTTATTTGCACTTCCAAGGGCGCAGGTGGTGGTGTGCTGGGCTGAACAGATAGGTGAGAGCCCTTACGCGGAGCGCCTGTCAGCCCACCACCACCTGCGGGAAAAAAACAATAACTTAACAGACTGAATAATAACTAAATCTGACCACTGTGGAAAGGAAGGAAGGGAGGGGGGGGGGGGGAGAACAGAGAGAGGTAGTGTTGATCACGAGGATGCCAATGTGGCCCCATACACCTTCGACAGCTCCTTTGATTCAGTTCTGTTGGTCGTCAGAGGGTTCCGCGCATTAAGGGGGAGTTGGTATTGACTCAGCAGAAAGACCACCAAAATGGCTGCTGATGTGTGCGGTGCGTGAGCACACTCGGTGACCGAGTATGTTGACGTATACCACACGTGGAGTGAAAGCTCACGCTGCAGAACCCAGGGATCCCGGGTTGTGCGGCGCGTTTCGTTATGCCCGTTTCGATCTGGAGAAGCATCGCACCGGCGTGCGATGCTTCTCTGCGCGGTACACGCCAGAGCCGTACACTGGGAAAGATTGGACAGTTTATGACACGAAAGAAAAAGAAAACACGTTGGCGACACGAAAAATTCCAAAACCCACTGTTCGCCACTGGACCACAAGATGGCGTTACTTGTGCCAGAATCGGCGGAGGCGCGCGCGCGTTGCGCAAACCCTGCGGGATAGGAGGACACACTCGCTCGGGCAGCGGTGAAGAGCGGGCGTGCGTGCGACATGCGTGATGCAATGAGATTAACGGCGCCAAAAGTGCGTCGTCAGAGAGCGCGCTGCACCTTCGGAGGTTCGCTATCACCGGGTTGGCGCTTGGGCTTTCACCTTCAAGTCGTCTTAAGGATAACATAAGAGGCTCTGTGAATTTTTCCTTCCAGATGAAGCGATATACATTTTCAGGAGGAGTGAAGCAGTGAACATCTATGCGAAATAAACGCGTGTGGGAGCATAACGATTGCTTTTCGAAAAAAAAAAAAAAAACTAAAAGAATATAAACTTGAATATCTCTGTCGTAAGAGAAAGGCAACTCCATGACAGAATTCGATAAATTGAAAACAGAAGCACACGGTTCTAGGACCCCAGAAACACGCCCACTTAAAAAATGGACTTCATATGCACCTACCTATGTAAAATATTGTTTACCATGCTATATCATGCTGCTTTCAGTGGCCCTTAGTTGATGATAGAGGTTCGGCATATGCAAGAATTTGAGCAGCTCAGTAAGAGGTTTGACTGACCTGGAACTTGACTGTGTAGCCAGAGACGAGCATCGGACTGCTCAACTTAGTCGTTAGCTGGGTCTCGGGATCCACCTCAGACTTCATGGCCTCAAAGCCAGTCACGTGCCAGAAGCTCTTGGTCTTGGAGGTCTTCACCTCAACCAGGGTCAGTTTTTGCTCCATCCTGTCCAACCGACCCATCAAGTCGTCCCGCTCACCATCGCTGCCTTGGTTAGGGCCGAAATATTTTATCAATCTCTTGTCCATCTCCCTTTTGACGTAGTCCCTGAAGTCTGTGATGGATGCATCCGCTGCCTCGTTCAGCTTCTCCTCCGAAGAGCGAGGGACGAGAGTTTTGCCCTGCGCGCTGAATGGAGCTGTCGACATGATTCGCTCTTTGATCAGACTTTGGACCTCGTTCCTTAGCATCATTATCGTGGACTGCATGTTCTGAAGTTTGGATATGGACGTGTCGACGGTCGCGTCCGCGGGTTGGGTTTCTCCGGGCAGAGCGCTACTGGTATTCGCAGCTGGCACTGGAGGTACTCCCTGGCAGGACTGAGCATGTTCGAAAATTTTTAAGTGCCTAACGGGCGTTGAACACTTGCCACAGTTAACCTGGTGGTACTCGCACTCGGAGAAGTGCCGCTCAATCGTGTCCATGATAGAGCCGCTGACTGTGCACCCAACGGACTTGTTAGGACAGAATACGGCGCCCAGTTCTTCTAGTTTGAACTCCACGACGAGGACGTCATCGGGGACAATGACGTGGTTGTCGAGGGGACACATATATTGGTCGTTGGTGGCGTGCACGATGAGCTGTCCGTAGCAGACGTCGCAAAAGACATGACAGCACCCGAGCGTGTAGATGTGCTTGGTCACCGAGTTGCAGAAAGTGCACGTCTTGGACTGTGGTTGTTCTTGGACGAAGTGTAGTCGTCTGCGGTCCAGGAGCTCCGAGAAACCGACCAGTACCCTTGCGGCCATGGCTGCTCAGTGGCCGTGCACGAGCCGCGAGCTCTTTGAACATGATGTCCGCGCGATGGGGCATCTGCGGAAGGTTGTTTGCCAGGAATATTCGTGCGCGAGTATCTCTTGCTACGTTTAACTCAATTCAATACCACAGCAGGGCGGGCTATTGCCATTTTAAATTCTATTCTGTCCTCCCCAGCGTTGCCCTTTGTGGAGGCTCGTCAACGCCCGCTTCAGTGGCTCGGTATCTGGATAAGGCAGGACAAGAGAAGGTCAGCAATGGCGGCTGTATAATTTGGCGCGTGTGTGAAGCGTCTATAGACGCTTTTAGGCAGCTGTGCATGAACGCCGCCATAACCGACCTTCAGTTTTTGTTCCCTCTTATTCCGTTCGCTCAACTTCATCATTACCCCAGCAGGACAGGTATTCGACATTTTAGGTGTTACTGTGACCGTCTCCCCAGCGTAGGCCTCTGTAAAGACTCGTCAACGCCCGCTTCAGTGTCTCGGCATCTCGGTCAGACAAGGGGAGGTCGGCTATGGCGGCTTAATCTATCAATCAATCACCGATCCCCCCAAAGATCTAGTGGGCTAGCGCCCACCAGCTCGGAGCACGTAGAGCGAAAGCTCGCGCTGCAGAGCCCAGAGATCCTTGGCTCAATCCCCACCCCTGCCCGTTTCGATCTGGATGAGCATCGTACCGGCGTGCGGTCGTGTATCACTACTGCGTGCTGCACGTTAAATACCCCAGGCTAGCGGTTGTACGGCACTGGCTAATTTCTCATCTACAGCTGGGAGACTCGTTGCCCTTTGAGGCAGACCGAGCTCTAGGCTGCATAAACATGTACACACAACCCAATTGTAGTTAAATGGGAGTTAAGGGACCATAAAATGAATCCTGGGCCGGAAGAAATGATTTCGGTCCCACCGAATGAGACAGTTTAGGTACTTTTTGGCAGGCCATTACTCATCTCCTTTTAAATACTGTTTTGTGGGATTGATGTCATTCGAAAGGCAATACAATCCTCTTTCATTTGATATTGTGTATGTGTTGGTTTTTACTGTTCATGCGCATTTGTAGCGTTGCGAATATGATGGCGCGGACCCTCACTTGCTCCGCTAGTTCATGTTTTATGAACGATCCATTAAAGATAGCACGGTTCCAATATAGCAGTTTTGTTAAGATGATGTCGGAGCAGAATCTAACGATACACCTTTTTGGTATTTGCACTACTTTGTTGTTTTCATCCCTCCAAATATTGCCCTAAAATTGACATTTTTCAGCACAAATATGTTTTTAATGACAAGCGCTAGGGCAATGAAATTAGCTACAGATGTAGGGCTTATAATTGGTAATATGCAGAAAAAAATGTAATGTTGTGTAAAATTTGTTTGTTTAGATATTTTATATCAAACGTAGCACTTTTTTGTGCTTCGAGTCATGGTAGTTCAAATGCCGCTGAAGAAATAATTAAACTATGATAAAATATTTTAAAACATTTAGAGCTACAATGGTTGTCCAAGAGGTGGACGATGGCTTTTTTTCATTTTCAAAGTCATAACGCTCCAGGAGCCCTTCAAACTTACCTGTTTTTGACGCATATCTGTTTTGGAAATCAAACAGATTTATTGGCATTTAATAACATTTATTGTTTGGAATAGATATACATTGCGATGTATTAAATTTTCACAATGATCTTGCTTTGGTTTCTTAATAGGTGTAGAGCTTAGCTAATTTTAAGAGCAATTAAAAACTGTTTGGGTGTTTTGTTGCGCTACCTGGCGGATTGCAGACAAACTGCTGATTTCTAGTGTTCAAAAAATTTCCGAGGAAGGCGTTGGCGTCTGTATCATCATCAATCTCCGTGTCTTTTTACCTTCACATTTAAAAAATATATTGGAAGATTTACTATCAATAAATGAATAGTTTACGTACTGGTTCAGGCTAATAAATCTGAGAAAAATAATTACACAAGCGTAGCGTGATATAATGCGTTCATTATTCGATATGATTGAATTCAATAAACAATAAAGACGAAGAGGAAAATAATACACCTTAGGGTGCCTGCATGTCTGTCTGTCTCAGGGTGAAGACATCCATTGTTGCACTGAATGTGCCAGCGCGTGACGCTCTCGCGCACTCGGTGCATGACTTGGGCGGTAAAATGGCGTCTATGCATTAGCCAAAGCTACGCGCTCGAGCTGAGTGACACCGGATTGCGCGCACTTGAAAAGGCATGAAAAACAATTGAGCGGAAAAATGGCTGAGATGTCACCACTCAAGCAAAGGCGCGCGTGTGTATGAAGGCACTCTAATACACCTGAGTTCACTTTATGGAGTCACTACGTGAGCTTTAAAGTATCGGCACTCAGTTCCCCAAAATTGGATTGGGCGCCGCCATTTTGGGTCTTGCTCAGAGCAAACGCAACTGCCGATCATCATGATCCAAAAGTACGACTTCCTCAGCATTAGATGCGATGCTAGGAAGCTGATGCAATATTGAAATGCTCTGTCGCGGGTTGTTTAAACATTTGTGGGGGACGGAAAAGCGTTTTCTGTGATTTTAGATAAAGCTCCATATAAAGGCCGGTTCTCACATGCAGCGAAGCGCTGATGTAGCGCTCCTCACGTGCCTTCATCTACTTATCGTCTGCGATGAGCAACAGTTTTGACAGTGCGATACAAAGCTGGTGAACGCTCCCGTTAGCACGCGCTTAGCGCGAGGTAAGCTCTGTGCTTGTAGCCCTCCGCTGCATGTGTGAACAGGCCTTAACTGGCAACCATGATTTTAAGCCACAATTTTAAGCCAAGTGTCGTTACTCGGAACCGCAGCTAATTTACTGGCACAAGCGGAAAAAATGAAGAAGAGGCAGGTCTCAAAAGGTAGTGGCTTGTGTAATCCACGGGGCTTACGTCATGGCCCCTCCAGGTATTACAAGACTCTTGAACAAGAGCATGAATAGTGTCATTAAATAAGCTACGCTTCAGAGTAGCGACACTTGCCCATATTGTGGCGTAAAATCATGGTTGGCAGTTATTTGAAGCTTTATCTGAAATCACAAGAAACGCTTTTCCGTCCTCCACTTTAAAAAGTTTTCGACAAAGCAAAGCAACATTACATGAGCTTCCTAACACCGAATCTAATGCTGAGGATGTCGCACTTTTGAATCATGACGATCGGCAGTTGCGCCTGCTCTGCACAAGCAACGAAATGGCGGCGTTCACAACACTGTCGGGGAAGAGAGTGCCGATACTCTAAGCGCAGCTCATTTATTGGCTCTAGTTTCCGCGAAACTTCCTTTTCCCTGACTGAAACTGAAAGTAAATATGAATAATACACCATTATTATAGCTTATTTAGTTATAACAAAATACACATAATGATAGGAGGAAGCGGGCGGGTAGGAGAAACGCGGGTTTTATGTGCGACCGTTCTAACCGTCTCAAAAGAAAGAACGCACAAGCTTGCGCCGGTTAACAAAAGAAAAAAAAAAAAACGCATCAAAAGAAAAGATGCGGCACGCTGTGTTCTTTGTTATTATGCGTCTAATTGCAAATTGTTGTATGCATGTTTATACAGCCGGAAGTTAGTCTGCCTTAGTCGGCGTCTGGTATCTCAGCTGTAGATGAACAATTTAGCCAGTGCGGTACAGCCGCAAACCTGGGGTCTTTAACGTGCACCACGCAGTAGTGATACACGACCGCACGCCGGTACGATGCTCTTCCAAATCGAAACGGGCAGGGGCGGGGTGAGTTCTGCAGCGCGAGCTTTCGCTCCAAGTGCTCCGAGCTGGTGTGCGCTAGGGTACCTTCATGTGCGCTTTGCTTAGGGTGGTGGCATCTCGCCATTTTGTCTCACACGTTTATTTTTATTTTTTGTTCAGAAGCACGTGAAAGAGCGTGGCTCTGCACGTGTTTGTGGCGTTGACTGTATTATGGCGACATTTTGTTTTCGTTGATTTCTTTGTATTTTCCCTGTGAGTGCGTGCTGTCGGCATCGGGTACTACAAAAGGTGGCATCACCCTAAACAGAAGGACATTGAGGCACCCTAGTGTGCGCTAGACCATGCACTCGGCCACCGAACCCCCCCCCCCCCCCCCCCCCCCCCCCCTTCTTGTGCGTCTAATTTATATACAGGTACACGTATTTGGAGATCGACGATGGACGTCGATCGTCTCGAGGTAATGTAACGTAATAACAATGTGTAAATAATAAACTTGTTAAAGGACTGAACGACTAAATTTTTCAATTCTTGGATTGTAATATGGCGGTAGCCTATTGTACTTACTGTTGATGAAGAGCAATATGAGGTGACGAGGTAATTATTAATTGATGAAACTCCATAAGGACGACGACATTAGTGGGTGTCGAACCACAACGTACAGTGCCAGACTTGTTTCAAGTATCGTGTACCCAATGACTTTCTTCACCCGCAAAAGTATAAAGTAGAATCAATGAGGATGCTGCTTTACAACTGTACGTTGAACAGGAAATGTGCACTGTGCAGGAGTGCGGCTTATTCGTTAATATGAGGGACGGATTTCTAGCAGCATTCCCTGATTGACTACTTGGAATAAATGGCCTCGTTGACGTAAAGTGTCCCCGTTCCAAAAGATTCTTGAAGCATACTTAAACCGCCAAAGAGTATGAGGCGAAAAATATGAAAAAGGAACATGGTGTGAAAGGTCCAAATCACCACCATAGCTTCTACTATCAAATACAAGGGCAGTTACGCAATACACAAAGAGAGTTTTGTGATTTAGTTATATTTACACTGAAGGGCATTGATATCCAACGTATTCAGAGAGACGACACCTCCTGGTCAAACAACATAGAGCCTTTTCTACTCAAGTTTTACATGGAAGGCCCCACTTCCGCTGAAATTCCTCACATAGACGAGTTGTCCGACCGATTAAACTGCCATTACTCTCTATCTGGGAATCTCTCGATCATTGTTCGTAGGCCACAGTATTATGAGATCGAGGGGTGTGGCTCTTCGTCCGCCGAATATTGCT